ACAAGACTGTCCCACAAGAGTGTCCTACAAGAGTGTCGTATAAGAGTGTCCTACAAGAGTGTCCCACAAGAGTTTCCTACAAGAGTGACCCACAAGAGTGTCCTACAAGAGTGTCCCAGAAGAGTGTCCCACAAGAGTGTCCTACAAGAGTGCTACAAGAGTGTCCCACAAGAGTGTCCCACAAGAGTGTCCTATAAGAGTGTCCCACAAGAGTGTCCCACAAGAGTGTCCCACAAGAGTTTCCGACAAGAGTGTCCTACAAGAGTGTCCTACAAGACTGTCCCACAAGAGTGTCCTACAAGAGTGTCGTATAAGAGTGTCCCACAAGAGTGTCCTGCAAGTGTCCCACAAGAGTGTTCTACAAGAGTGTCTCACAAGAGTGTCCCACAAGAGTTTCCTACAAGAGTGTCCCACAAGAGTGTGCTACAAGAGTGTCCCACAAGAGTGTCCCACAAGAGTGTCCTATAAGAGTGTCCCACAAGAGTGTCCTACAAGAGTGTCCCACAAGAGTTTCCTACAAGAGTGACCCACAAGAGTGTGCTACAAGAGTGTCCTACAGAGTGTCCCGCAAGAGTGTCCTACAAGAGTGTCATTTGGACATATTAGTTTTTCGAACGTGTTTGCATTCGGGTTCGTGGGTTCCATCTTGTTTATTCAGACCACCGGTCAGAATGGGCATGACAAACCTTAGACATGGACTGCTAAACCCAGCACATGGAATCTGAACACTTCAATGGAGATGCCAATGGGATAAGGAGCTGCACCGTGTGATACTGCTCGGCCAAAGGAGGCCAGTGTCTCTTATGGCCTGTAGCTGGTCGTCTCCAAATCTGGAAGGAAGGTCCTGTAGGCATACAACAGCAAGCGGATTGAACCAGTTCCCCGCTGCCCCGCCATGTCTTGCGCCTTGGCTTCAAATTGGCACGCTGCCAGACGCAACAAACAGGATAAGTTGATTGAATGGTCTTGGGAATAGGTGGAACCCTTCTCAACTATAGATTTTACATTTCCACCAAATCACACAATAACTCTCCGAGACCGTCCTAATTAAACTGTCCTAATATGTCCTAATTATTGTGTTTTGCAATGTTCTGGATTCCATTCAATCAGGTGAGAAAGACTTTCGAAGTCATGCGGGCAACTCTTGAACAGTCGACCACTCTCGCCACTCTGAGCCATTGACAAGGGTGGTTAGCTCTGTGATGGCCCACCTTGAACGTTGCGTTCCGGATGCTCTTTGCGTAGGTCATGTTTCCCACGTCTCGGCTGAGCAACAAACATCCTGGATCGCTGGAGGTACAGCCCCAATACACTGCCTAACTGCCAGAATGAAGAAAACACACACTTCTGTATGGGCACTGTTTCCACCTTGGGGCACCTGGGCTTACAATATGTCCCTTATCACTGAAGTGTTCGAGAATGCTTGAGGCCTGAGTGAATCGAACGGGAGTGAAAAAAGAAAGGGCGACCCCCCGCTCGGACCTGGAGGCACTTGCCTTATGAGGCCCTGGCCCCCAAAAGCTATTGGCATCAGCATCATTGGGGCTCCCTGGCCAGATTTGGCGTGATGCCGAGTTCGAGGGTTAGTAGGAGCAATAAACTATATCACATTACTGATTTCCCTGCTGTTCTCACTCAAATGTGATGTTATACACCATGGAACGTACATAGCCCATTTGCTCTACCAACTCTGTAGCTTCTGAGAAAAACGATTACAGGAACCCCCTCACAAGCCCTTGAGCCTAGTTCAACTACATTTTGGAACTGCAATTGTTGTTGCTCTTCCTTTGAAGGCTTTCTTAATGCCAAAGCAGTTGCCACTCATGTGCTGGTGTGCCTATGAGAGTGTTTCAAGGACTCGCACTTGGTGGACACGCACTATGGCTGTATCCTGGATCGGTCACCCACGAGCACCCATACAGCCCATACTGCACCAGCTTTGAAGTTCATGACTCTGGCAGCTGTAATGGGTACAGAATGGTCTATACCTTTGTGTTTGTGGTCTGGATTTGGTCTTTGACCCAACTCATGAGAGGAAGCCAAATCTTGTCCTCCCAAAGAAACTGGAATACCATTGTCCACCCCTTACTTTCACCAAAACTTCTAACCATCAAACCCGAAAAATGCTCCGTGACACCCCTCGGTCGCTGCAAGCGCCTGGGCCGCTCGAGAGCGGGACCGCGCGCGACGTCCGCGAGCGACTGGGCGCGACCTCGATCGGTCTCGGACTCCTGGAGCTTGGGATGTCCCAACACCCAAACCTCGGCCGATACGCTCTCGCGTGGCTCGCGTCTAGCTCTTGGCTAGATCAAGAGGGCAATATAAAGGTGTGAATGGAAAGGGGGGTCCACAGCAGACTGAGAGTTCAAGTCCACTCTTTTTTTGAGATGCAGTGAGGGAGGTTTGAAGTGTTGGAGAGACTCCAGAAAAAGACCCTTAGACTCGAAGGTTGATATACTGTCAGAAGTTGATCGACGTCTCATCAAACGAATCTCTCAGGCGTGAAAACAAAGTCTAGAAGTTTGGGAGTTGAAGCTTGGGGATACTGTGAAGTGAAGTGGACGATGTCTTTTAACAAGCACTCACCTCAGAAAGCTAAGTGCGGACATGTGCGGAATTGTGTGGACTAACACCCGCGTCGCATCCGCGTCGCGTGGGGTTGTTGTCCTGAAAACTGGTGATAACGTATTTCATACTGCTTAATCCGTTGATCCCGTCAAAAAAACAAATTGCAATCAGAATCCGTCGCCATGAGCACTTTTGGCATCCAAGTGCTTCACCAAAACCGATCAAACCAGGCACCAGGTATCTTTCTTGCCTTAAGCCTTAGTCCAGCCTCAAAAACACATTTTGCGACCATCACAGGTTGCACCCCAAGGAGGCCTCCAAAACTAAGAGTCTTTCTGGACTCTTCTGGTTGAACCGGGTTGCAGCCTGACCACTCACCACGTCTCCATCCCAAGAAAGTCATATCTGTCTCGAGATGCCAATCTCGCATCATCCTCTCGCACTGGCAGTTCCGGGTCCAATGCCAAGCCATGTTGCCAAAGGTAAAGTTGAAGAGCTTCCACCTGGCGGCCGAACGCCAACGGATCAGGTCGGTCAAGAGATGAGATGGAAGATGGAAGAAGCGTCTGGGTTGCACATGTCAATGTATCCGGTGAGAGGTTTAATCATCCTCCTGTAACCTGGAAACTGGAACCTCACTGTATTGTACTATGAATACTCAACATATCTCAACTATATATTTTAAGCTCTGAGCAGCGGCTTTTATTCATTGTTGAATTCAAATGCACTATCTATTTTGTGGGTGCCCTATCTCATTTAGACTACTTAAGAAATTAGGAGGTGATATCAGTGATATCACATTATCTCGTTCAGACTCTATATACTTTATATAGTGTCATCAAAAAGCATCTCGTTTGTGGGGGGCCCTATCTCCGTTCACCAGCGAATACTGATGTTGGAAAAACAAATGGAGCATGCCGTAGACAACTTTAGTAAAGATTTAATAAACTTGAATATTGTGAATATTCATTCGTTGGCATCTCAGTTGCATATGAGCATGTGAAAAGGACATCCGGATCCCGGAGACACGACCCCGAACCCCTCAATCCAGGCGTTGATTCTTTTTTTGTGAGACCGAAACGCTGCACTACCTGAACAAAGACTTCTGCGATATCCTCATGACAGGCTTTCGTGTATCGCAGTCGGCGCAGGGCGCCACTGTTGCACCATCTCAGGAAAAGGCCTTGTTGGATTGTACACTCCCTGGAATCATCATGTGGATGGCATGGATGAAGGATGAAATCCTCTACAAACCGGTGTCCACTTCCATGATTAATGATTATGTAATTCCATGGAGCGGAGGTTTCTTCTCCAATGATCCTCCACAACACGGGGGACTGTTCCAGGAAGTGAAGGCTATCCTCTTGTGACCTCTTTCGTCACTGAAAGGACCTGCGTAAGCTACATGAAAAGCAGCACCATCACTCTCATTGACCTAAATTGACTATCATTAACTCTCATCAAGTCTGATGATTTCTCGCGCAGTTGGAGTCAGTTGCTCATGCGCCCCAGCTTTCCAACAAGCTTATCACTTCGGGGCTGCTCAATTGAACATCCTTGACCTGGTCCTTGTTGGCACCAGCTTGGAGCAAGAGCTCAACAACTTCCGGGTGACCAAACATGGCTGCCAAGTGCAGCGCCGAGTCTAAACGCACGTGATGAGATCTCTGATTAAAGTTCCCCTCCAGCAGCAAGCGCACCACTTCCAAGCGGCCACTGCGTGCAGCACAATCCAGCACTGAATGTCCTTGCCTGGTCACTGGTTTCTTTTGAGCTCCAGCCTCCAGCAAGAGTCGCACAACTTCAAGATGACCTTTGTCTGCTGCCATGTGCAAAGCTGTTGCAGCACTTGGGTACATTGGGTGATTTATGTCAGCCCCAGCCTTGAGCAAAAGCCGCACGATTTCCAAGGAACCTCTCTGTGCAGCTAAGTGCAAAGCTGATGCACCATTCATCATGGTCTTGTGCACGTCAGCTCCACTCTCAACTAAGTGTCTCGCAACTTTCAAGTGCCCTTTCTGAGCTGCCCAATGCAAAGCAGTTCTGTACTGCCTCGACGCAAGGTCCACCTCATGGATGTTGGCTCCCGCGGCAAGGAACAACTTTACAACTTCCAAGTGTCCCTTCTCCGCCGCACAGTGCAAGGCTGTTTTCACGCTGCGAAGCACTTTGGGACGCACCAAGAGGGGTCTGACCATGTAAAGGTGACCTCCTGAGGAAAGGTGGCCGATGATCAACATACCAAAGACGCGTGTAAAGGTGCAACATTGGATTTGTCAACCACCTGAAGAACATCCGGAAGGATTTTGGCAACATGTTGTTTGGAGTTCCCCCAAAACGGCTCCAACGCTCATCTCGTGAAGCGCCTGGATGGATCAGAGTATATATGATATATATATATATACTACTTTAAAAGAATAAACGCCTCGTGCCTCGAGCGGCCAAATGCAAAGGGGTGATGCCATTGAAATCCTCCTTCTCAGGACGCGCACCAGCTTCGAGCAATAACTTGAGACAGTCCACACGGCCAGCCTCTGCAGCCTCGGTTTGGACGAAAACAAACGCTGAGCTGAATTGGGATAGCAATATAAGAAGCTACTAGTAACGAGTGCATCGCTTCTAGCAACAAGTGCCTTACTAGTAGTAACAAGAAGCTATTCATGCATCGGAGGGATGGTTTTATCTTTTGAGTGCAAGCTGCAGGTTGAGCGGCACTGATGCACAACTTCCCTCTGAGAGTGTGCGCTCTCAGATGAGCTTACGCTGCGACCCAATCATGATTCCCACATCCTAGCACACCAAATATGGTTAATTATGATTCCGGGTAAGTAAGATAAACATAATATTAGAGCTAGTCGAGTAGAAATAAATGACTGGACTGGATGATATCTTAATCCCGCGAGCTGGTGTTGTTCAACACCCCTGCAGCTGGCGATGGATAAGCTCCGCATCACCCACAACCCCATCTCAGGTGGTCTGTAATGTATATATATATACTGTATATATTATACGTATAAACATGTATAAAAGCATTGTGTTATGCTGGATTCGTATATGTGTGTTTCTTCCAAGGACCTCCAGCAAAGGACATTTAATTCATGTTTTGTCCAGGAACTTTGTGCAATCCGGTACAGCCATATTGATCTGTCACATCTGGATCCAAGGGCCACTTCAGGATGTCCTCCACGTCCTGGATGCGATTCTCGTGAGATGCGTTAATGAGCTTCTGGTCGAGGCCATCCTCTGGTGGACGCAAAGGTAGAATCAGCAGCTGCACTCGCTGAGTAGGGCAAAGCTGAGTCTCATCCTGCAGTTCACCCTCTTCACTGAACCATCTTTGCCGGAATCGTGTGACTCGAATCTGCGTGGCAAAATGAGCCTTCAGGGATTTCACTGAATTGTGCTCAACCTCATCTATGTTGATGCTGCCCACTACATCTCCGGACACTGCTGAGTAAACGTAAAGCAGTGAACTCGACGGGAGGTTCCCTGAACTCGTGGGGCGAGGATGCTCGAAGGTCGAAGAAGTCGAATGGCAAAAGGAGGCCTCTTCCGAGTTGGACTCATCTTCCGAGGAGTTGCCCTTAGAAGTCCTCGACGCGATTTTCGCTCGAAAGTATGATACTGGCACTGGATGAAACACCTGGGACATCTGGGACATGACTCCTCGAGCCGCTGCAAGAGATTCGAATGAATGAAGCTCAAAGTGACGCAACTGACGCTGACCTTCTGATCTTGAAATGTGTAACTAAAGCATACCGGAAAACCATCCAAAAGCATCTCCCAAACTATATACCCAGGTCACAAGAAAACACCAAGTGATCGAATGCATTCTGGCTCACATGGATCGATCGCCGAAGCGACTTGAGCGGATGAGGGGCCTCTTTGTCCTTGGCTCCAGGCCACAAGGCTCGTTGAGAGGTCGGAGCACATCGCAGCCTGGCAGAACTGCAGGCCGAACAAGTCATCCGAAGGAAGACTGGAGAAATTGATGCACATTCCATCTTGCAAACGCGTCTGGATGAATGAAATGTAAGTACAGTACCTACTCCGACCAAACACAATGTTGCAGGAGATACGAGTAATTCGTGGGTGGATGTCACTTCCGTACTCTCGCCCGATTGGGTTTCATCGGTGAGGGTGGTTTAGCTCAAGCTTGCCGCAGCTTCCCCAAACTACATGAAGCATCAGTTCAGGTCCACCATGTTACAACAATGACTGTTGGTTGGTTTTCAGGATGGGATTCTTTCAGGACCGGACAAGCAAAACCCCTCAGACTCCCATGAACTCACATGACTGATTGTGACTCCCATATGACGCAGGTCGTGGGGGAACGAAGGAGCGAAAAAAGCTCCGTTCGTAGCGTCCTTGTTACTACTAGTAAGGCACTTGTTAGTAGTAGCGATGCACTTGT